AGCACCCTCTGAGCGCCCTGTTGTCACTACCTGCGAATCCCGAGCCGCAGTTGGTTATGATGTCCAGCAGAGCCTCTGGCAAGTAGCCATCCCGAGCAAAGCGCTCCAGGAAGATGTCCCCCTGCCTTTTGGACAGCTTGCCCCCATACTTGTTCAGAAGCAGCGGGAGGTGACCGAACTGAGGGGGATCCCAGCCAAAGGCTCTGTAGAGAAGGAGGTGCTTGGACGTCGAGGTCAGCCACTCGGTTCCGCGCAGGACGTGGCTGATGCCCATGTGATGATCATCCACCACGTTCGCCAGGTGGTACGTGGGGAAGCCGTCCCCCTTGAGGATCACCGGGTCACCCTCCACCTCAGCCACTTCGTGCTTGGTCCAGCCACAGACCAGGTCCTGGAAGGGTTCCACCCCCTTCTCCAGCCGGAAGCGCACCACCCAGTCGAGGCCCCGTGACAGCTTCTCGGCCACTTCGGTGGGCGTCAGGTGCCGACACCGGTTGTCGTACCTGTGAGGAGGGAGAACGAAGGTCTCTGTTCAATACAGACCAACCCCAGCAGCCATTTTATGTTCCCCAAACTCTAAACTGACCCCAGGATTTTAGCTGCAACCTGCCCACTGTGTGTCCAGTCAAGCTACCTCATCTCTGGATGTCACTCCCTTCAGTCTCTAAGGGTTAATCACAGAATGGTTTGGGTTGGAAAGGGCCTTAAGATCATCTAGTTCCAACCCCCTGCCATGGACAGGGATGCCTCACACTAGAACATTGTCACCCAAGCCTCTGTCTAACCTGGCCTTGAACATTGCCAGCGATAGAGCAGCCACAGCTTCTCTGGGCACCCTGTGCCAGCACCTCAGCACCCTCACGGTAAATAGTTTCTTCCCTACATCCAACCTGAACTTCCCCTGTTTCAGTTTGAACCCATCACCCCTTGTCCTATCACTACAATCCCTGATGAAAGTCCCTCTCCAGCATCCTTGTAGCCCCCTTCAGGCACTGGAAGCTGCTCTGAGGTTACAGTAGCTCCTCTCTCTGCGGGCACTGAGATCACAACCTTACTAAGCTTCTGCAAGCGAGCAGCAGAGGGGGGGAGCCAGCAGAGGGGGGTCCTACCGCGGGCTCTGCTGGCTGCGCAGAGCCTCCTTCTTGAGCAGGTCCAGGCGCTGCGGGGTGCAGAAGCAGCGATACGCCGCGCCCCGCTCCAGCAGCTCGGCGCTGGCGCTGCGGTACAGCTCCAGTCTGTGCGACTGCTGGTAGGGTCCAAAGGAGCCGCCGCGCCGAGGACTCTCATCAGGGGGAATACCTGGAACACCGGCACAACGGCACTGAGAAAGGCAGAGTGAACCCACCGTGGGAGCACGTGCAACGGAGGTGAAACAGCAAGGCTCTAGGGAGCATCCAGAGAAGGCTGCTGCTCCAGGGCAGCCAGCTAACAGGATCTGCACAGCACTGGGGGCAGATTCCCCTGGACTCAGAAGACAAACAGCAGCCAACGTGATCAGAATTTAGAGCGCTCTATGTGAAGAAACAACCAACATCCACCCTTTTTATAGCGAAGGACACTAATATGGCAGAAATGCAGTTGAGATCTTGGCCAATTATTTTACTTACTCCAAGTTTACTACTCAACAGTCAAGTCCTAGCCCCGCAGAGGTTACCTACCCATTAACAGAAGCACGTGTGGGATCTGGCTTGACTTTATCACAACTCTAAAATCACCCTTACACAGATCTCCTTTAGGAAACACTCCATCTATGAACAGTTTACCCATTTACATCAAGGTCTGTCAGCTCCAACATCTGCCCTTTCCATCACATCTGTCAGGCACCTTTGTCACGTTCTGCCACTTGCACAGACGTGGATCTCACTCCATGGCAGACAATACAGCCAAAAGCAACCAACCCAGGACAGTTATTTCTGCTCTACAACATGCTCCCAGTGGGACTTCCCTGATGCCCAGCAGTAGGAATAACTACGTTTCAGCTAATTCATTGTCTGAAAGGCTGCACAGCTTCTACAGTGCAAAATACACAGCGTGAGTGCTGTTAATCACCAAGAGCAAAAAAAAGAAAGCTGTCTGAGAGTACCTGCCCAATCCAGCATGTCTTCTATTCCTTCTGCAGCTCCAGGCACCACTCGGTTTTGATCCGTATCCTCCACTCTCAAAATAAAGGTCCCCTGGTGCTTTTTGGCAAAAATGTAGTTGTACAAAGCAGTGCGAAGGCCACCCAAATGCAGAAAACCTGCCACCAGGGAACCAGAGAGAGTCGGAATCGAGGCCCAACAGGGATTTTCCAATATGGGTCAAAAGGGCATCATGCTACCTTCAATGGAAACTGGTACCAAGCACTGGCTGGGCAGGGAGCTGAGCTGCACAGCCCTTGTGGGCCCTTGGTATGGAATAAGAGCTGCCCAAGCCCTTATCGAAGAGATATGCACACCTCTTTTATCACGGAATCCCAGCCTGGTTTGGGTTGGAAGAGACCTTAAAGCTCAGCCACGGGCAGGGACACCTTCCCCCAGAGCAGGTTGCTCCAAGCCCCTGTGTCCAACCTGCCCTTGAATACTGCCAGGGATGGGGAAGTGCTTGTTCTTATGCTGCACCGTGGAAGAGGAAGCACAAAAGTGCTGTGCTCCAGTGGGGAATCCCAGAGGCGG